ATAAGTTTGGGAAATGTCGGGCCATGCAGGGTTGTCTTGGTTTAGGACTTCTCACCGACGTGCCTTGCGGCCCTCCAGGAGGGAAGGAGAGGGGGCAGGCTCCATTAGGCCACAGAAGTCTTCCTCATAGGGGGCCTGCAGGACCAATGTTTTCCAAATACAACTTTGACAAGTGCACATCTCAGCTTTTCGGAGACTCCTGGAACATAATAGCTAGGGCTTGTCATTTCTCAGGTCAAGGGATTATGGACAGAGAGGTCATGGCTTCAGCCCAAGTTCCCCCAGCTAAAGGCAAATCAAGGACCAGGCTCCCCATGTCCATTCCAGGGCACCCCCATCCCTGTATCTGGTTTTTCATTAACCACAAAGGGCAGGGAGGTAAGTTAATGTCTGATGAGTCCCCACCCTAAAACAGGGCTAATTGTAGAAACTGTAGGACCTACTCTGTGCCCACACCACGCAAAGGGCTTTGCACACATGCCATCTTACTCAATCCTTCTAACAACACACGGGGGTAGGTATCTTATCTCACTTTGAAAAATGAGGAAACTGAGGCTCAGAAAGTTCCAGTCACTTGTTCTATCCCTTTGAGTAAGGAAATTGCAAAGCCAAGACATGGACCCAAGTTGGCCTGACTGCCTTTAAAGCACCACACATTGTCTTATTTAGTCCTCTGCATAGCCATGCAAGGTGAAAGTGATCCCCACTTTGCAGTTGAGGAAACTGAGGCTAAGAAAAGTTAAGAAGCTTAACAAAGTCATGCAACCAGGGGATGGATGGCTGGGCACAGACTCCTCACTGCCAGATTCTCAGGTCTGTAGCCTCCACCACACGATGTTCCTGCAGACACACCTCAGCCCAACAGTGACGCTGGTCTGAGACCTTATCTCTGCATTGACTCAAGGGCACAGCCGTGAGCTGGAGAGAATCCCAAGCCTCAGAACTGGCTTGAACTGATAGCCTAGGTGACACCTGTCTAGGTGACACTTAGGCAGTGCTGAGCTCAGTTCTCTGTCACTTTAAAAGAAAAGCCCAGGGAAATGGTTCCCTTTGCTTGACTGGCACATCACAACAACCACACTGCCTCTGCTTGACCTCTGCTAGTAGGAAGATTATTTGTCTAATTAGGTAAAGAGCCTTCATGCACATGTACATATTTTAACCCTAATGAGCTGTCAATGGGAAAGGTTTGCCCTTGGCCTGGTTCACCAGCTGATCTTGCCTTTCCTCAGTGGAAAAGACCAGTGCAGTAAACAGGACCTCGTTTCCATGGAAGCTCACTCGCTGGCTTTTTCTTTCCAGCACTTGAAAAGGTAATTACTTGATTTCTCTTTATATTTTTGGATTTTGTACAGTGGGGCTGTCAAGCTCCTTGATTGAGGATGGCCTCCTCTATCATGCCAGGCTATTTTAGGGTGCTTTGGGTACATTTCCATTTTCATCTTCCCTCCAGATCATTAGCTGTCAGACAGCTGTGTCTGCCTGGTCACTCCTGCTAATGAAAGTCTAACGGAGGGAAAGGATTTGACCCTGGAGAAAGTGAGAGACACTGAGAAGCTGGGAAGATTTGTCAGGAGATGGGACCCCTTGATCACCTTCCTTTCTGGTGCACAGTCAGAGGAAGACCCCACATCCACACCAGGGAGAGAAGCTGTCCCACCCGGCTCATTCTCTTCTGAATCTTTGATGCCCCATTGTGGCCCATATCAGAAATATACCAGCATGGGCTGCTCTAGTAACACAAAGAGCAGCCACCATTTCCTGAGGGTTTGACATGCCAGAACTGGGCTAAGCCCTTCATAGTCAATGTTTCAGCGAAGCCTCATGACATCTTTAGGTAGTTATTATCCTGATTTTTCAGATGAAGAGACCTAAAACACAGAGAGGTTAAGTACCTTGCCTGAGGTCACACAGTTACTATAATGGCAGAGCCAGGATAAGGATGTGTCCCTTGTTATCATTTCTTTGGGAGGGTTCTGGCATGGCTATAGCCTCCCCAGCAGAAATCAACCAGTCATGACAGGTGACAGAAGGTAGACTTTCTCTGCCCCTCATTGATGACTCTTCGTGTTAAACTGACCCATTAGTACAAGAAGCAATGTGAGGGCACTGAGTTAGTTAGTTGTCAAGGACAATTAGAAAACCAAACAAGGCACTCAGGAAGGAAGACAGCATAATGCAGAGCAAAAGGGCTCCAGCTGGCGGCAGGGCTGACACCATTTCAAATGACTTGTGCCACTTTACCAGCTGTGGGGACTGCGGCTCGTTCCTGAACTTCACTGAGACTCAGTTTCCTTATCTGTAAAATGGGGGTAATGATGCTACCTACCTCCTAGCGTTGTTTCACATGTGGGATTTCCCAAACTGGTCACTGAAAAAACATTTATTTTCAGTGAAATAATTTTGTAAAACAAAGTCAAATGCAGTTAAATAAGCTTATTTACTCTAAAATTTCTCAGAATCTTATTATGCTGTTTGCATTACAAATGTTCAGAAGAGAGAAGCATTTCCTGACCTCAGAGTCCTTTTCTTGGAAGAACAGACCCTGTTTCTTGGTACCTTTTAGAAAAGGTCATAAGGTGCCTGGGCTTGATATAGGCAACAATAAATATTAATCCCTGCTCTTCTGTGCCCAACTTATTCAAAAAACTATCCCTCTTCTTGCTAGATTTAAGCTTCATAGAGGCAGGCACCAGGCTGGTCTTATTCCTTTCTGTATTCCAGTGTCTTGGCATAACAAGATATTCCATGTATGGAATACATTCAATGTATGAATGCATAAATGAGTAAACCAACAAATTCATGGATGGAGCTTAGTGTAGACCTAGCCTTCTCATGTCTCAAATTCTTTGCTGTTTCTAGTGGCATTCAGTGAGGTCAATAGGAGAACTCACTGGCTTCTGCAGACTTAGTAAGGCAGTGGTTCTATTGGGCTGTGTTTTCTCCTTTCAGTTTTAACCTCTGTGAACACCATACCTTCTGGCAGAATTCCCAACTTTAGCCCCTGGCCAAGTCGCCATGCTGCTTCTCAGTGAAGCAGTCAGATGTTTCATTTATGTATGTATTTTGAACAAGACATTTCTGCGTGTTCCCAGTGGATTTGCACCTGGATCTGAAGAAGTCTTGGATTTCCAAGGGAAAAGAACAAAAACAGTTTATTGGAGCTTAAAAACACTCAGGATGCCATGTTTCCCACATGTGCCTATTGGCAGGCAGTGGTCACAGTGCTGTTGTTCAGCAGTGTGATGCTTTTGGGTGGCTCTCTATTTACTTAGAGGAGGATTTTCATGTTCTCTGGGCATGATACAAACAATAAACATTTAAGTTTAAGTTAAAGAATAGTTGAGTTGGTCAAAGTCTAACAGATTTCCTTACTGCAGAACTTCTCAGAGACTTTGCATTTTGATACACTCTTTCCCAAACTTATCTGAGCCTTTCTGGAACCCTTTCTTCTGAAGCATCTAGTAAAGTGGTTGTTCAGCAGAGCACCCTTTGGAAAATGCTGCCTTAGAATAATATTTGGCCAAAAGTTGCAAATCAGTCTTTGTGATTGAGGAAATAGTCCCGCTCCTCAAAACTGTGAAAAGGAGAAAGTAAGGCAACTCCTTAATTGAACAGGGTGATTAAAATGCGTAACAAGAAGTCAGATGAATTTTTATGTTCTGCAAAATAAACCAAAGAAGAAGATTGATGATGCTTCAACAGTTTTGACCATACATTTTCTAGTGTTCTCGTTTGTGTCATACTAGAAATAACTTACTTTCTATACCATTTCATAGCATAGATAAAGCTGTTTTGTTGTTCTAAATTTCTGAATACAAATGACCTTTAAAAGAAAAGGACTTAGAAAACTCACATACTTCTTAAGCTACTTTTTGTTGTGGGTTAATATGTACTTCAAAAAGGAACAGAGCCCCTCATATTTGAATGCCACTGTTCCCTGCTTATTAAACTTTTCTGTGAATAAAATAAATCATGAATTTCTGTGAATAAAATAAATCATAAATTACTGAACAAAGCAGACTAAATTACAGTTTGAAAGATAGTGCAAGGCTTGCTTAGAAATAAAGAGAGAACTTCAGTCCATAGAGCAGGGGTCAGAAACTTTGGTCTGCCACCTTTGTAGACATAAAATTTTACTAGAACACAGCAGTACTCATTCATTTACGTATTGTCTGTGGTTGTTTCACATTTCAATGGGAGAGTTCAGTCAATGCAACAGAGACCTTATGGCCTTCAAAGCCTAACATATTAATCATATGGCCCTTTCCAGAAATGTTTGCCAATATCTTTAATAGATTCAAAGGATGATATAAAAGGAGTGGAGATTATATAACCAACCCCTTCATTCTATAGATGGAAAAATTGAAACCAGAGAAGTTACAGAATTGTCCGGGTTGTTTATGCTTGGGTGTTCTGATCCTTATATCCTAATAGCTCTAACCTTCAGGGAAGGCAAGGATAGATTTCAGCTTGGATACCAAAACCAGCTGAGTGGTAGTGGCCATCTGGGGTCCTAGCTGAGAATGTGTCAGGCTCAGTCAGAAGAAAGTCAGGGATTGATTAATCTTCCATGGTGGGAGAGCAGCAAGATATATGCCATGTGGGCCCTGTGGATACGCACCAGGTCTGCTCCATACATTTCTAGGAGTTCTCTTACCATCTCCTTCCTTGTATGCCTGCTGGGTTAAAACTGTCCTCAGTGTGCCACAGACAGAGGTGCTGTGCCCTGCCTTCCTTAGAAGCACTGCTGCCTAGCACTTCAGAAGTGATCTTGTACAAGTTCATGCAAATGTCGTTCCTAGCAGCTGCCTACCACATCACACTCTTCCTAGAAGCATTTAACTTAAAATTTCACTCAAACTAGATGTGTCTGGTACAAGATTCCTAACTTTCAGTGTGTCCATGGGGGAACCAAGTAGGAAATTAAAATGGAAAGTCATGAGTTTATTGGCTTCTGTGACGCAGACGTAAGTCTCCCTGTTTGTGCTTTCATGCAGCTGGACAATCCAGACGAGCAAGCAGCCCAGATCAGACGGGAGCTGGATGGACGTCTCCAAATGGCAGACCACATAGCCAGGGTAAGGAAACCTGGGGGACATTGCTGGGGGGCCAGGCCAAAGCCCCACACAGGAAACACGCTGCTTATTAAGGTCCATGAAAGGAAAAAGCAGAGAAGCCGAGAGGAAGGAAGATGAGGACAATCACCCTGACTGGCACCTCTCTAGTTTTCCTGTGCTTCGACCTATACTGCAGTTCCACACATTTCTAAGAATGACATTACCATCTTCTCCTTTGTATGACTTCTGTGCAAACACTGTCCTCATTGCACCAGACAGAGTTGCTGCAACCACTCCAGTTCCAGTCTCACTGTTCTTCTGAGTCCCAGACTTACTTCCAACTATCTTTTGAGCATTTCCACTTGGATAACCCCTGCATTTCAAGTTAAATGTGTTCAAAATCTAGCTCCTTATCTTCTCCCTCCTACCACATACACATCCCTACATTTATTCCTTTTCATGTATTCTCCATGCAGCTACTGTGGGTGGAACCTCCTTGCATGCCCAACTCCCAGTTTCTCCTTCTTCCCTGTGACGCCCCCTCTCAGTCAGCCCCAAGCTCATTGACTGCCGCCTAAATGTGGGTCAGATCTCTTCAGTGCTTTCCAGCGGCACTGCTAGTGCTTTGGCTCAGGCCCTCATCCTCAACGCCCAGGTCTTACAATAGCCTCCAAATGGGTGTTCCTGGGTTGACACCCTCCTCATCTCCTGTTCATCCTTCACGCAGTTGCTATTCTAAATGCCACATATGAACATCTCAAAACAGAGCCTCGAAACCCTCCAATAGAATCCCCCGTTGCTCCCAGAACAAAATCTAACCTCTTCTGAATGATATTCAGGGCTCTTAATCCACACACCATACCCTGCCTTATTATGACCTCACTTTCCACAACTTTCCCACCAGAAGTCCCCATTTCAGCTGCAGAGAATGCCTCCCTCCAAATAAGCCTTTCCCAGGCTTAATGACTTGGTGCCCATTGGCATTTCAACCTAGCATGATATTTCTTTTCTCCTCCATTTAGCAAACTCTCCTACTCAGCTTTCGTACTCAAAACCCCTTATGTAAGAGCTTAGCTGGTTCTCCCCACTTCTGCACTTTCTTCATGCCACATATAAACCTTTAGGATAACAGTTCATTGGGTGGTGACTATTTGTTTACATGTCTGAGTCTCCCAGTACATAGGATTTCCCTGGGGTTGGGATTATGTCTTATTACTGATGAATGTGAGCCTAAGTATTATGTACTATTATTGCCTTCACTGCCATTTGTGTTCATTATTAACGGTAGTCATGCTAGTTGTACTTATTGAGTGCTGACTCTGTGGCAAGTACGCTAAATGCTTTACATGTACCATCCCATTCGCCCTCAGAACAGCTCTGTGAGGTTCCATTCAGTTTTCGTCTTGCTTTAGAGGTGGGAAATCTACACTGAGATTGATAGGCACTAGTTAAGAGGCTACATTGGATCCTTAACTCAAGTCTGTTTAAATATCAGGGCTGGGACCAGGATGAGGCATTAATTCAGGTGCAAAATTCAAAAGTAGGGGGCCAAAAATGCAGTAACGAAAATAAATAATATTTAATGCGATATTTTTAAATAATTAAATCAAAAATCCATGAAGAACAAAATTACAGAATTTTAAATCACAGGCTCCTGCTGGTTCCTCCAGTAGCCACAGGCATATGAGAGGAAGGGGCTGTGGGAGATGGCAGGGAGGGTGGGCTCAGGCAGAGCTTGGCATCCAGCCTTCCTCTTTATGGACAGAAGTGGCTCAGGACTTGGACATAAGGGAAGGAATCCTCCTGAGGGAGAAACAGAAGAGCGATTCCAAGAAGCATGAACATTTGTGTTTGTGATCAAGCAGTTTTATTGAAATGTTTTATCTCTTCTTTTTGGACACCTTTAAAGTTTATAGCAGAATCAGTCCGGTGGCTAAAAATAGTATGCAGTTATGGATTTGGCCAAAGGTAGTATAAAAGGCTCTTAATATTTGAAAACCCTGCTTATGTGAGAGTAAACATCAATAACGCTTTAGAATTTACTTCTGAAAACTCAGTATCTCCTCAGAAGATTATTCAGAAAATGGAGGTCATTTGACCCACTGCCTGCCATTAGGTAACTGTTGCGTCTGCAGGTAATGAGTATTCATCCCACTTAAAGAATATCTCACACACAGACACACAATTCAAAAACAAGCTCATGGCACCTTTATTTTAGTTGTTTAGTTTACTTTGAGAGTTAAAATGAAAATTTAAGAAACTGGTGTAGGCTAAATTTAATTTTTAAAAGACCACCAGGCACCCTGATACCAAGCAGGAAATTGCCAAGAACTTAGAACTAGACTTTCTTGAACAATGAAATAGGCAATTAAATTGAATTTTGGCTGTTATTTACAGAGACTGGAGAATAATTCCAAACCATATGAGGAGCCCCCCAAACATTTAGGGTATGGAGGATTTCTATGAAAGAGTCTGCCCACTACTATTTCCGGTTTCCTAGAAACTGACTGTCTTCTGCAACATTCATTCATACCATTGGCCCCCTAATCATAGCTAGTTGGTCCTGGAAGTGAGCTCTTCACCCAAGCAGAACCAATCACAGTTCCCAGCCTGCCTAGCCACAAATGATTGGTCCAGAATTGGGTGCCCAATGCAACTAGACCAAATCCCTTCCCTGGAACCTGTGGACTGAGGGCCAACATGCCTGGTGCTAGAAAGATGTCTGCAGCCACGTTCCATTCTTCCATGTAGGGAGAAGAACAGAAGAATGCAGCCAACATGCAGAGAGACAGAGACAGGGAACAGCCTGAAGTTCTCAGGATGTTCAAGTCCCTGGATCCACTTATTCTTGAGCCTCAGCCAGTAACTGCTTTTACTTCCAATTTAGTTGGATTCTAAGAAAAATACATTCTCTCTTCACCTAAACCAGCTTAGCTAATAATGAGGAAAATTTAAAAAATATCTTATCCACCAAAAATTAAATGAAATATCAAGACCTCCAATACTGAAGGTCAAGATATTGAAGTTCATAAAGAGGTACTGAAACAAAGCCCTTCTGCTTATCTTCTTGTGGCATGCCGCGACTTTTCTATTTCCATCATTGGTGAATTTTAGTCAGGGTGTACAATTAGACCCATATGGCTGAACATCAGCTCCTGTAAATATCATAAGCAGAAGTTCCTGGATATAGATGTTAGCCATCAAACATAATTCACTCTGTTCTATGAATTAAAAGATGGGAAGAGCATTTTGATTGCAAGTTAGAGCACCACTCAGGGAGACTTGGGCAAAAGAGGGATTGAGTCCAGGGGTCAAGGAGTGTCACTCAGAGCCCCCGGGCAAGATGTAGCCAAAACCCAGGGAGGACCTGGGACCGGAAACTGTCAGGTGGTCAGAACTTTCTATACTCTCTTGACTCTGTGTGTCTCATTCATTATTCTTTCTTTGTATGCAAACCAGCTTTCTTGGCATCTCAGCTGGGAAACCCATCTGCTCCACAGCTCTACATGTTTCCAGTATGGACAAATAAGAAATCACTGAGTCAGTCAACCTCTCTACCAAATATTTCTCCCTACCTTTCCTTTCCCTACTTCAAATTCACAATTTCAAGAGTCAGGCTCCTGATTGGCCCAACTTGGTTCAAGGGCCAACCCCTGGAGCAATCAGCCAATCCACCTTGGAAAGGAAGTGAGGGTCTCACTGAATCCATGGAGGTTGGAGGTACATCAATAAGGTTGAAGGTGGCACCCAAGAGGTAGACTGTGGGTAGGGTGGTCATTATAAACTGAGAGATACCCAAGATGTGCCCCAAATTAATAACTGTCGCTTATATGGTTTTTATTCTGTGACCGGCTCTCTTCTAAGCATTTTACATTTGATAATCTCTCCAACCCTCCAGCAACCTTGTGAGAAAGGTGTGATAGTTATCCCCATTTCATAGGGGAAGCTAAAGCAGAGACTTTAGAGGACTTGACCAAGGTCACTCAATGACCAGAATCTGCACTCTTAATCAGTATGTATAAATGCCTTCCCAAATACAGGCCCTTATTTTCCCCAGCACCACAATCTAAGGACCAACGTGCCCTTCACCCAGCCTTCATCTTACCTCATCCTGACCTCTCTTTGCTTATCAGGCCTTTAATAAATGTGTCAGGCACTGGCAGTGCAATTTCACATACACTGCCTTTTAGGCCTTTAATAAAAACTCCTGGAGTCACAGTAGTTCTTCCCAGGTTGGCCACATCAAAGAGTTTAAGTGATATGTTTACTTAGCTATTAGGTAACAAGCTGAGGGCTCTCATTCCAAGCTTTGTGCTCTCTCTCTTCAGAGCAGTCAGGTGACAGGCAGAAAGTTACTCCAGATGACAGACTGCCCCCAGGTCCTCTCTCCCTGATGGTATTCAATCCAGAGGCCATTTCAAGTAACAGCATCAGATAGAATTGGCTCTTAAAATTCTGAATCCTTTCTACTTTGATTTCCTTGGAATCCAAAAAAGAGGTTGTAAGGCTTCTGTTAGTTCTGCCAACAGTATTCCCATCATCACACACTTATGAAAGGCATGTGCTTGTTATTTCTTGCTGGGAGAGAAGGGAGGCAAGCGCGAGGCGGTTCTCCTCCACACACACCCCTATGTGGTCATCTGTCGGTTCAGTCACACCACATCTCACAGGTCAGAGCATCCAACGGAGATGACAGGATGAACCCTCACTGTGAACATCAGGCGGGTGCCTTATAAGTTCCATGGAAAGAGCTGGGTGCTTTTTTTTTAATCTGATAGAAAAGACTTCTTAATCCCTGTTCAAACATTTTCCAAAATCCTCTCATACTGATATTAAAATGTCCCCAAATTTTACCCAGGAATTAAGTCTAAGTTATTTAAATTGTGTGATCAGAGGTTGACATTGGAGCTTAAACAGGCAGATTGTGGCATTAGTGATGCTGTGATATTTGCCAGTTCTTTTGGCCACATTTAGGGGTAAAAATTCCAAAATTCTTGGTCTGATTATGTAAGACAAATAAT